CTCCGAGCTATTCCATCCTTTATAACAATTTTAAGCACATCAATGATGGAACTAAACAAAAAAATTAAATTTACCAAAGTTCCATAATGTGAACCCTATCGTGTATCCTCAACTCATTTAAGACTTGTTTCTTGGTTTAAACCCCTTCCTATAGAAAGTTCACTAACTCGTAATGCCTTAACAACTTTATCAAGTTGTTTTTCTTGAAAAACATCTCTTTGTTTACATGAAGCCTGACAATATTCACCACATTTGTCACAATGTTGAAAAGTAATGCAATTTGAACATGATTCTTTGCCATGATTACAAGTGTCAATTGAAGTTGATGAGCAAAACAATGAACATAATAAGCAGATGCATTATCTTTCATGATCAAAGTTTTTAATCCATTGAATTTACCTTGCATGTTGTTTGCTCCATCATAACCTTACCCACAAATCCTTGACATACTCAAATTATGCTTAGAGAATAATGCTTCAATAACTGCTTTAAGTGATAAAGTAATTGTATCACTAACATGCATTATATTCAGAAAATGTTTAATAACATGCTCTTTAGAATCCATATAGTGTAAAACAATAGCAGCTTGTTTTTTGATTGAAACATCACGAGACTCATCAAGTAAAATAAAAAATAATCCATCTCTAAGATCTTCATGATAGTATTTGTAGTCTCAATTGTTGCATCACGAACAAGATCTTTTTGAATATCATGTGCTATTATTTTGAATTTTCTAGTGCATTCTCCATGACAATACTATTGATGGTTTTATTATAATTGGTAAGAAATCTAAGAAGCTTAAGAAAATTTCTTGATTATGAGAATTTTCAGTTTCATTTCTACCACGAAATGCCAAATCTTGACATAAAAGAAAATGAATACAATCAAGTGTCGCAGTTAAGCAAACTTGATAATCTTTTTGTACTTGATTGGATTATTTTGCAAAAGCAAATTAAATATGTTGCTTTTGATTTAGCAAATCTTAACAACACTTCCAAGCTTTGTTATGAGCACTATTAGGACCTCCAACATGAATATCAAATTTTTCTTTCTTTTTCCAATTTGTGAATCCATTTGAAATGAAACAATCACCACGTACTTGCTCTCTAATATTGTTCTATAAAGACAACAACACAAACAAAAAGCAGCATCATTCTCTATACTATTTTCCAACTAATTAGCATAATTTTTAAACCATGTAGGAATAGAATGACATAATGTCTTTTCAGTTTTTCTCTGGGAAAAATTATGTTCATAAGGTTAACATGGGCCTTTTTGTAAATAAACTATTCAAACCTTATCTCTATCATTAGCATTATAGTCTAAATTTTTTTTCGTAACCTAGGATCTGAAGAAAAATAGTCTAAATTTAATTCAACATGAACTTGCTTTGCACAATGTTGTATGTCAATATTGATTCCAGATGATTCTTCAAAATTTGACTTCATTTTAATAAGACATTTCTCCATAACTAATTAAATTAAATAATTTAGGTTATATAATTTATAAAAAATAAGTACACATATTCAAAATATAATTATGCATATTAATAAAGATCAACTAACTCTCTATTGAAATATATAAGTAGAAATGCAATTCACATACCATAACTATACTACTATGCAAGAAATTGCATAGAACTTCTAATTAATTTTATAATTTTCATATAAAATTAATTTTTATCAAACTTAAAGTTATTAGTTTAATGAATAATAATTAAAAAAATAAAGAAAAATTATAAAACATAAAAAATTCAAATATGATAAAAAAATATAACTGCTATCAATAACATGATCAAATTATTTCATCAATATAATAAATTTCAAATAGTAAATAAATACTATATATAAAAATATACTAAAAAAATTGATTGACTAATTATAAAAATATATAAAAAAATAACTTACTTGAATATCTTGTTGAAAGAAGAAGGTAACTACCAACTTGTGATTTGTTTCTTTAATTTAAAGACTTTCTTTTTTCAATTTTTACTTCTTTAATTTTCTTCTTTTATTCTCCCTGTTTTTGTTTGAAAACTTGAAAGGTGCAAAGGAGAGAAAAATAGTCGAAAATGAAAAATCGATTACTTTTAATTACAATCAATTCTACTTCTTCTTTTTTTATACTAACATTAAAATATTTTTTTATTTACAAATCGTCACTTCCAATTAATGTAAATTTGACTTTTCCATATATTATATATATTATATTTTGAGTAGGGAATTATAAAAAAATTAAACTTTTAAAATATTTTTATAATATATTTTTGAAGAGGTAAAGATTTCAGTGGGCGTAACTGCCCTCAATGGCCCCCACCGTCCATTCATCCTTAATCAGAGTTATCATGATCCTAACAATAATATGATAAAAATTTTTTCATCCATCATTCAAACAAAATATTAATTATAATTCTTTTCACTCAAGGGTAGATAAGTGACCTAAGCACTTCCAAAATGCAAAATATCTTTTCAGTCAGGGATATCATTTTAATGTAGTCGTTGAGAAGAATAAATATTCGTAGATCACTAATAATCCGTTGGTAAACTCTTTGATGTATGTACCCGTAAAACTTACATTGGATTGGACGTGTTCAAATTGTTTGATCTGTCTGTCTGGATCCACCAGCTCTAATTTTCCAAATGAGGAGCTGGTGGTCAAAGCAGTAGAACCAAAAAAGAACGTACAAACACCAAAAGCAGCCACATAAACAATTCATGGTTTGGCCTAAAAAGAAATCTATTGTGAATACGTAAATCTGATGAATTGTTTAAGTGACTATGAAAGTCGCAGGCTTTCGCCCTAAAAAGAAATTAAAAAAAAAAAAGGCAACAAGAAAATCAAAGCTTGAATGATTCAAGTCAAAAATGGGGGGATAACAGAAATCAAAGAAAATAAAAGCACGACAAACTGGAAATATTTCCAAGATAATAGCAAGCCATAAACTGATAATAGCCTTAAGTTAATTAGCTATTAATATTCACGATAACCCGCTTTAGGAAACTTAAATTCAAAATTTTATCAGCCACAGCAATCACTTGTCCTAAATTCTAAGCATTCCCAAGGGACAGTTCAATCAGAATTGCAATCAACTAGATGATGGCGGAATAAAACCACACCGAAATTACAGGAAGAAACCACACCCGCCTCCATATCTCAAGGAAAATAAAAACTAAAAAAGTACTCAAAAGTCTAAAATATCACCAGAAATACTACTACAAAAGAAACATATCAGGTTTGTGTTTGTTCAACCTGACCTGACCATTGCCAGAATAGAAATGCATCAAATAGCAGGCAAAGGTGATATAGTGAGCCAGTGAAGGGACTGGTGTCCAACCAAAATGTCTGTTTCTCAATTGATGGGCATTCTCAAGGATGGCATCATTATACTATGCTACAGCCAAGCAACATAGCTAGTTCGATGTATGTCATAACTCCTATTTTCTCAGACATCATCCAAAAACATAAACATCCAAGGAACCCCTTAAAAAGGTAAAAAGCTTTAACAAGAAAAATATTTTAAAATAGTAATAGCTTCTTCCTATTTTTCAGAGAAAGGCATCCCAAAAATATACATACATGTAAAGCACTCCAGTGCATTGGCAGCAATTTAAACTAGTGGATAGGAAACTAAACTTTAGTCTTTTTACAGCATCAGCCATCCACACATATAGAAAGACAAACGCGCAGAAATCCAAGTAAACATGGTGGATGAACATAGGCATACAAAGTCCAAAGATGTAAAAAGGTGGACTTAGTCTAGCAGACGAAGTTAGGTAAGATCCCAGAGAACTAAAGAGTTGCTCTCATCTGGAAAACAAAAAGTAGCTTGACATATCTCAGGAAAACACTGGTAAATACTAAAATTCGGGTAATCACAATAAAGGAGCATATGTCCAAGATATTATTTACTTTTTCTTCTTTCACAATACCATGGTTCAAGCCCATAAGAATTTTAAAAAAAAAATCTCTAAAATATAGGATTCCTTTGTATACAGTTAAATCCCACTGAATCTATATGAGTGTACTCTTCTTCTACCATCGAAAGAATATTCACCATTTCACTTCCCTCTGTAAATAAACAGAAATAGAGCATCTAGTGGTCCTTTCGATAAGCTCTAGGGTATAACATTCTCCCCTACCATTCCAAGTATTATGTTGTAGCCTGAAGCATCAAAACAACCCATAGAATGTAAAGTACTTGAGAAATCTTTTCCTCTGAACCTTAAATTTCAATGCAGCTTCACAGAGAGATGGGTTCTTTTAGTCTCCAAATTCCTAAAAGAGAGCTATTCTAATGTGAATTTGTTAAATTCAGGCTTTGGAAGAAGGTAGTTAATCATTGGCATCTCTTGGGGGCTTCTTAATCCTAGTCTCTACTTTTCGGTACCCGTATCTTGATGATATTCTCAATGAATATTTAATTGCATGGATCTTTAATTTCTCCTTTTCTTCTTTCTTGCAATGTCTTAATTTCCTACAGCTTGTATTAAACTCCCTCCCAATAATCTCGAAAGTTGAAACACTAAAGTGGCACATAATTTCCCATCAAATCCATCACCATAACTACCTAAATTCTTCTTGTTTATCAAATGATCCATAATGCAAACCAGGCTTTAGATTTCTATAAGGTAACATAATTATAAACAAACCAAGTAACATATGCTTGAGAAGTTGCCCCAAAGCACAACATCAGTTAGCAAAAACGAAAGAATGTTATGATAAAGAAGAAATACAAATCTCTAGGTATGCCAGCAATGTAAATATAAGTAACACAGAGAGAATAAAGCATAACAATGGGAACGTACTCAGTACTGCAATTCAACAGGCACAAAGTCTCTTAACTAGTCGTAACATATGCAGTGCTCAAAATATCAATCATAAGCTAAATGCTGACCAAAACAGTATGACTTAATTAAAGATGAAGGGGCTTATAATACATATGGCTAGCAAAGATTGCAAGGCAATGTTACAGGTAAAACAAAAGCCTAATAGTACAGCTAGAAGTAAAACCTCAAGTCAAACTGATTCAAAATAAAACCACATATCTTTTAAGCAATCAGAAATCCACAAGCACCGAGACCCTACAAGTGATACAACTCACAAAACGTAATTTAAAAAGGGCATAATCAATACAATTTAAAGGATAATAATAAATAAACTAATAGTAGTAAAATTAATTTCCCACAAAGTATAAATTATCCTACACAAAAATACCTGAGCTCAACTATACACATCCACTACCAGAAAAGAAAAACCTTAAAATCACTTGGAGACCAAAAGGATTTCTGGCTTCTTAGCCTTGCTAGGTGTGTTGGCATTCGATGATGCGTTAGCAGCAGCCGTAGCAGCTGCCTTTGCTGATGCTCTTGCACTGTTATCCAACCTAATCAGACTCTGCAACGCCAAGATGGCTTGCGGAGCCAAATCATGAGACGCCCTCGCGTATAAACACCTAATCGCAACAGAGGCGGCGTCCTTTACATCTTGGGAATTCGAAGGACCAAACAAACAATGCCCTAAAATTGTCACCACCGGCCTTAAAAGTTCCCAAGGTAACGGAATCCTCACTCCCTTTTTCTCCAAATTCTCCGCATCTTCTTTGCTAATCCCCAAATTGTCCGTCTCCACCACCACCTCCTTAATCACATCATCCTCGTAGTCCACGTCTTCATTGGAGCGGCTTCTCCTTCCGTTACTAAACCCCGAATCCTCCCTAAAAAAGCGGTTATGACCATTATTATTTCCATTACCATTTTCCTGGTGCTGATGATCATCGCTGTCAAATTTTGTTCTGCAAGGACAATCTTGCCCCGCCCAAGCGGCGGCGAATTTGCAAAACTCCAGCTTAGACCAAGCCGGCATTTGAGAAACTTGCTTGTAATAGCAATCAAGCGCGGTCCCAACGATGATAGCTCGCTTAGTTGACTTAACGGCTAAATGTGGCTCGAGCGGAGGTGATAAAACGCCGACGGATTGCCTAGATCTGTCATGAACGGGCTTGTTACGAGGAGTGTGGTAAAGAGAGGGTTGGGAGAGGTCGGGAATTTGGACGAGGACAGCTTTTCCGGAACGGGATTTGGCTTCGGAAGAGTAAACGGCGAGGAGAACAGCTTCGAAGCCGGCGAGGGAGGGGAAGGAAGAAGAATCCGAGGAGTGGATCCGGGAAAGATAGATGCCGGAAAGGAGAGGGAGGAAAGAGAGGACGAGGAGGCGGAGATGAGGGTCGGGGGATTGGAAAGTTTCGTACAGCCATTGGCAGAGAGGGTCAGAGCCGGAGCCAGAGGTAGGAGAGGAAAGGGCAGAGGAAATTAGGGAGTATGCCGAGAGAGATGAGAGGAGAGAGAGGGCGGGACGGTCGGAATCGGCCAAGGAGGAAAGGGTGATTCCATCGGATGGGAGGAGAGAAGAGAGGGAAAGGATGCGGGAACGTTGTTTGGAGACGGATTCCCACCAGGAGTGCATTGGATCATTGTCGGTGGCGGTGGAGGGAGGAGGTTGGTGGGCAGTGGAGGAGGAGGTGGAGGATGAGGAAGAGGGAGAGTTTGTGGAATGGTTATGGGGGAAGTCCATGGCGGAGATGGAGGAGGTTTGAGTTGAGAGAGATTTTGGGCGATTAGCTAGATGTGGGGATTTGGGAACCCGGTAAAGTCGGGTCAGTGCTGGGGTTGGCGGCTAGCCTGCAGAGTTTAGTGAAGCTTGACTTTATTTTCTACGGTTTTTTCTCCACTTACTCTTTAAACGAAAAATATCCATTTAACTAAAAATTAAATTAATAAAGCTTTGTCGATATTTCCGCACAATTTTAAAAAAGATTTTTCAAAATCTTTTCCTTAAGTTCCCTTGCTAATAAAAAGAACGTCGACAATATAACAATGGCGCAGACGAGAATAATGAACATAATAAAATAATTCATCATTTATAAAATTGGATTGCAATTTGCAAAGAAAGAATAATCATTATTTTTGTATAAGATAACATAACCTCCTGCAAGATAATCAAATGATTACTTTTCCATATAAATCCAAAACGCTACTTTTTATCTTTTACTAGAATTTCTCCACCACTATGCTGGGATTGAATGTTTCTCTTCTCAATATTTTTATTTTAATATATTTATCATTTTAATTTTTAACATAAAAATAACCGTCAGCGAAGTAGCAGTGTTTTTTTTTTTTTTTTAAATTTTATTACTACTAACCTTACCATAAAAAATCAAACTTTTCACCAGTTTGGCAACTGATATTCAAGCAACACGGGGGCAAGCTTTGGTGAGTACTTTCTTCTCAGACTTTATTATTTTGCCGTATCTTTTTGCTTTGCTTTAAGATTCACCGGACCACGCCATGTCGGAGCTCTAATCTGCGAATATTCATTCTATCCTTAACTAAATTTACTGTATATTTTTGTTTTATTTATATATATATATATATGTGAGAGGAATGCACTTTGAATTCTTAAAATCAAAAGTAAACCAATGAAAGGACAAAATATTATCCCCTCCAGCATCTTGATGTTTCTCTTCCCTTGCTAAATTACACAAATTTTGTCAAATGGCAACTAATTGCTAACTAAACTGAGCTTCAATTGAATGCTTATCAATAAAAGCAGCAAATGCTGCACAGCGACTGTCATGACTTCATTTTAATCTGATGTACATTGATCTTTTGCTTCTTTTCTTTTTCATTTTCTTGCTTCCGTATCCCTTTCACCACCACCGTCGGCTAGCTTTCAGGCGACACCACTCTCCAATCGAAAAGGGGTCAGATTGGAGCTCTTAGTGGCTTAGTGCCATCTAGTAGCTCCGATTCTCATGGGGCATTACTGATTATCAAGGGTAGATCCGACCCTCCTCGATTGGTGCAGAAAACAAAAAAAAAAAAACGAAAGGAAAAGAAAAAAATAAGAGAGAAAATATTTTTTTTTGGAAAAATATATTTAGTTATTAACCATAAAATTTTCACTAAATATGAATTATATTTAAAATAAAAAATTATAAATTTTTAAATCATATTCAATTAAAAGTGGTAATTTTGATTGATAAAAATAATTCCATCTTGTGATCAATTTTGTATGCATCAAACCTAGTATATGATAAAAATAATAGGTAAAATATTATAAATGTTTTTAAAATTTATCACTCTATTTAGATAAATTTTTATACTTTTATTATCTTTAATTAAATCATTGATTTTTATATTACATCCAAATAAACTCTTTAAACTTTAATTTATATTCAAATAAATTCTTAGCCTTTAATTTATATCTAAATAAATTTTTAACATAAATTATTTTTATTTGAAATAAGGGCTTAATTATTTGGATACCAAAAGAAAATTTTTTAGATACAATAAAAATATAAAAATTTATTTACATAAAATGATAACATCCAAAACTTTTATGATAGATCTTGCTTTTAATCCTTACAGACACCAATTGTCCATATATAAAATAAAATGATATTATCTAATCTAATTATTATTTTATTTTATTTTATCTTATCGCATTAAATTTAAAGATGATAACTAACTAACATGCTTAAGTCAAATTGGCATCCTACTAAGATAATCCTAATTGTTTAAGCCTACACTTAAATCATATTTGGTAACTATTCATTCAAACAAATCATACCCTAAAACTGAATAAATCACTTTTCTTTTTTAATTTTTTTATAGTTATTACTTGTGAGAATTTGTTTTGAAGTCTACTTTTCGATTTGATGTACACTGTTAAATTTTGAAGAGCTTAATTCAGTTTTAAACTAAATCTATTTTCTGATTAAAATAAATTGTTTCTATAATCTGTGCTAGTAAGGCCATAGGAACTGGTAGCTGTTGCTCACTCACTCCCTCCCCTTCCCCCTTCTGAACTGGAATGTGGAAGGGTGGCATTGTGGCGGTTCATAACTTCATATCCCTTGGTTTAACTCAAGTACCATAGGCAGAATGATGGTTTGGCTTTCAGTTTATCATGGAGAATTAAGTTGGATGAATGGATATCATTAGGAACAGAATTTAAAGTGCTTTATCTGCTTGAGTTTTTATCATCTATCTGATTCAATCGTTGCTGTGGATAAAAATTAACTATCCTGCTATTCAAGTCTTCTTGATGATTTCTTAGTGGTTCAACTGCTAGTAAAAATCTGCAAATACAATCTTGGATTTGGCATTTTCAGGAGAATTTAACCATCCTCCATTTTCCATGAATATTACCAGATGGTTTCTTCTGGTGCTTTAGTTTTTATTCAAATTTTCCTTTATTATATATTTGAGAAATTCCATGGAATGAACTACCATGCAGAATTTGAAACTCGTGGCTGCAGAAGCCATTAACTACTGAAAATACATCAGTCGAATCCGTGTATAATCAATGACTAGTAATATGTATTAGCATACACAATCCACAAGAATGAATTTTGATCTATTGGGGGAACTCATCAGCTCAACGAAAAATATAACATTTCCAGTTTTCCTGCGACTACCCTTCCTCTATAACATTAACTCAGTTATCTACATCAATCAACTTGTCACTCATTTCTTTACAAGCCAAGAGCACCGAGGGGTGTCTTTCCTTGGCCAGCCTCAAAGTAGAAAATCAACATGGCCAACATGGCAATTCTGGCATGCTTAATCTCAGCAAGCTTAAGTCTCTCGAGCTTGTCATAATCAGGGATGTAGACACCATTCTGGATGGTTCCCGAAAGGCCTAATGGGTCAAAGAACTTGCCTTGAATGGCGAAGTTCTCAGCCGTCCTGGACCATGGAGTGGCCCATTTCACAGATTGAGACTATCGGTTGAAGAAGTCTACCCAGCTCTTGCTTTCGACCCAACCCATAAGGATGAGTTGGGTACCCAAGAGTGAGCCGAAGGTGAATGGGGCTATTGCACCTGGGTCAGCTCCGGCCTCGAACCCTAAATAAAAGATAATATCCTATCATTTCCAGAAATAAATCCCACCACTTTTTGCAAGTGAAAATTTGTTGTTTGGCTATTTGCGTTTTAACCCCTAAAACATAGAAGTTCTCAAAGAAAAATCGATTCCCATTGCTTTATACATGTCCTAATTATGTCCAAAGTGTTATGCATGTACTAAAATAAAAGAAGCCAAATTTTTTCAATAATTTCTTTGGTATGCCGGGTCCCCTTAAACATCTGCCAGCATCAGGAATCATATCTTCTGGTTGGCTAGCACTTGCCATGAATGCCACAGCCCATAAGGAGAAAGAGAAAGGTCTGTTTCATCATACCTTGCACCAACAAAACATATATCATTGCTAAAAGTGGAAAAGAATCTGTTGAGATTGAGGTAAAGTGGAATGATTTTTTTTTTTTTTGTAGTTGCATCACAATACGATCAAAACTGATAAAAATCGAGGTAACAAACGATCAAAACACTCAAAAACGAAAAAAATATATATAAGATTAAGAGAACACCAATAATGTACATGCCAAATAAATATCCAATTTATTAGAGCACAAAAAAAATTAATTATAAAAATCCGAGATTACAATGATTATAACAATTCACTTACGACTAATTTTTCTAATCATTCGTCCTGGATTTTTATGTGTTTTTCACTTTTTTATGGTGGTCACGCATCCAAACCTACAACACAAGCTTTTTACACTTTAATAAATCTTAAAACTATTATTAGTTTAAACATAAAAGAGCTTAAGAATCAAGACACAAACCCAACACATTTCATTTGGTGTGAATATATAGACTCAAGTCGTCTTTTTAATAGTAAATGGAAGAAGGATTTATGCTAGATCATCATTTTAGAAGCAAATCTATATATCCATATTAAACCCTATCATGCAGGATAAAAATTACATAAAATTTTTTAAGTGAAATTTATGAAATTTTCTATTAAAAATGATTTAATAAAAATTTTAGTAAAAAATTTAAATTGATGAATGGATAGAATTTAAAGGAAGATCAATAATATATACAAAAATTATTAAAAATATTATTTATAATTTAAATTTAATCGATATTTATTCAATGATAAAAATTTTATTAATATTTTTAGTAAAAATATCTATTTAAAAAATATATATTAAAATTTATTAATTTTTTTAAAAATATTTATACACTTGTTCTCAATAACGAAAATTTTCAATATATTATTTTTTAATTTTGATTTAATTATTTTTAATAAAAAATTTCACAAATTTCACTTAAAAAATTTTCATTTAAGTCTTTTTCCTATCATGCATGCTTTCCTTTTCAGAATTAATTTGAAACTTTCGACTTAATTTTAACCGCTAAAATTTAATTTTACAAAAATGATATTTATGGCGTTATACAAAGGGAATGAATTCGATGAAATTAAACCAATGCTTTACAAGCACATCGAACATGACGAGAAATAAAAATTATAGGAGATCACAAGGCAAACACATAGTCCTATAACAAAAATAAGAATTCAGTTACATATGTTTATATGACCTATTTAATACTTTTTAAGAATTCAAAGTGTACCTCATTTAATATTATAAGATTGAGATTTAAATTTTAATATTTATAATATTTTTATTTTCGTGTTACATATTTATTTTAAAGTAAAAATATATTTAAAATATTATTTATAAAATATTTGCACTTAATGTATTATTTTTACTAAATTTAAGGAAAAACAATTAATTCATTAATTATATTTTTATTAAACATCACTTTAATCACTATGGTTAAATACTGATTAATAAATTTTAAAAATAAAATAATAATTAAATTTATATTTAATAAAAATTATTATTATTATTATGGGATCACAAAAAGGCTATAAAGTTTTGAAACATTTAATATAAAAAATGACATGGCAAGTTACTGTAATAATGTAGGCCTAGGGCACAGCTCATTGACCTTTTAGGGTTGCAGATGACAACACTGCCCTATCTGTAGTACCAAATAGTAAATGGAAAGTCGAAGAGAATTTTAAATTTTGGATATGCAGATGGCAAGACTGCCCTATGCAATTAGGCACTTCTAACTCTCATGCAAACCATAGAATTCCTACAACAAATATTCAACACGCTTTTGTAGAAATCATAGTACCCAAACATTGCTGCATGTGATGTGAGTATTTTTGCTTTTATCTTCATTTTCTTTCCTTCTATATTTTCTTTTCTATTCCATGTCTAAGCAATTTAGGCTCCATCTATTTTGTAAAAAATAATTTTAAAAAATAATTTTTTTAAAATTATTTATATTTTTTTGAATTAAAAGATAGTTTTTTGTTTGAATGAATTAATGAAAATATTTTTTGAAAAAATATTTAAAAAATATTAATATAATTATTAAAATATATTGAAATTATTTATTATTAAAATTATTGAAATTAAAAAATAATTATATTTTAATAATAATATTTAATATTAAAATATTATGTTAATACAAAAAATACTTAAAATAAAACTATTTATTATTCTTTATATTATTTATTAATATATTATAATAATATTTATTAAATAATATAATAGTATAATAATATATATTTATTAATATAATATTATTTGTAAGTAAAATTATGCTTAAAAGTATTACTAAATAGTTGTATTCATAAACAGTTATTTTTTAAAAAATATATTTTTCTTTTTAAATTTATAAGATAATTTTTAAAAAAGTGATCTTATTTTTGCGTTGATCAGTTAGTTTTCTACCAAATAAACACCTAAAAATGATAAAATCATTTTTTGAAAGTAATTTTTCGCGAAACAAACGGAGTTTTAAAATATTTTATTTTTTGCAAAAACTTCACAAATAAAAAATATTATTTTATTCATGAGTTTATATTTAATGCACTGTTAATGTATAAATTATATACACTATCAGCGAATCACGTGATAACAACTTATTAATTAGGTGAATCAGATTATATAATACCTTATTAATGAATAAATTTTTAAAAAAATTTTAGTTTTTGTATATTTATTTTAAAAATTGATATTTACTTACTAATAAAATATTATTATTTGATTTATTGATAGTGTGTAAAATATATATACTAACAATATACCAAATATAAACTCTTTATTCATTAATCTAAATACATACTAAGAACAGACACTAAAATTTAAAAACTCCTATTTCCTTTTGCTATTTATTTCTTATTAACATTCCTTGACAAGTTAAGACTTTCTTTAAAAAATTTTTTTTTCTTCAACAAGACTAAAATATAATATTTAAATTTAATTTAATAATTTTACATATGATATGATGATATAATAATATGATATAAAATAATATAAAAATATAAAAATAATATAATTTAAAACTTTTTACAAAATTATATATAAATTTGATAAAAATTAAAAAATATTTTTATTTAATATATAAATATAAATGATAACATAATAATTTTTATATTTTATGTATTTGATATGAAATTTACACTATACAAATATATGAATTATTGAATCTAAATTAAATTTATTTTTTAAAATTTTCTCATAAGTATGAAATAAAAAAATTATTTATTTTCAAATTCACCAACTTACCTTACAAAAAAAACCTAATCACTCGATATTACTATCTAGTTTTTTAACAAATACACAACTCTTATTACCATAAATAATTATAACAAATAACCAAAAAATTATTTCTATCCTTATCGCTTTAAAAATGTTACTGATAAAAAAAAAAAAGGAAAATTTCAAATTTCGTTTTTTCTGTGTTAAGAAAACTTGGATGATAGGATCCTTTTTCAAAACCCAACTTTTTTCTCTTTCTCCCTCCCTCTCTCCCCAATAAATCCACCCTCCACTCCCACACCTGAATCCTACCATTTTCCTCTCCGTCCCAAAACAACCAAAATCCACTTTTTTTTTTTTTTTTGCCTCTGCTATTTCCTCTCCCAACAATGGCAGCATCAAAATTCTCTCTTGCTTTGATCCTTGTCATTCTCTCAGTGTGGGCCGTTAATGCTGCCCATCACCAAGCGGCGGCGGCGCCATCCCCTTCTTCTGCCTCCGTGGATTGCTCGTCTCTGATCTTGAACATGGCGGATTGTTTGTCATTTGTGTCAAGTGGAAGTGAGGTGTCGAAGCCGGAAGGGACATGTTGCAATGGCTTGAAAACTGTGCTGAAGGCAGACCCCGAGTGTTTGTGTGAGGCTTTTGAGAGCAGTGCTTCTTTAGGTGTTACTCTGAATATCACCAAGGCCTTGACTTTGCCTGCTGTTTGCAAAGTCTCTGCTCCTTCTGCCACCAATTGCTCAAGTGAGTGACTTGCTTTTCTTTCTCTTTTTTCGCAGCCCATTTTGTAGTGGAAAATGTGGTTTAATTTTTGTTCAAGATTTTGTTTGAGAAGGGAGTTTTCAATTGCATGGGTGTTTAAAGGGGTGGGTTTTGCTGCTTGTTTATGACATAAATTGGGGAATCTTTACCAAAGTTGTAACCCTTTTGAGTGTCTTGATGGCAGTAAATTTCGCTCCTGCGCCAGTCATTTTTGTTGTATATTTTCCTCCGGTGCCTTTTCAATTTTCATGCATTAATTCATTAAATTAATTAACAAGGAAAAAAGAGAAAGAGAAAATGAACAGGATTTTGGGTTTAGAACTGATGACTAATAGTGTGGGTCCTTCTTTGGCAGTATCTCTCTCTCCTGCTGCAGCTCCAGGTACGTTCTGGTCTTTATCTTGACAGAGATACGCGGCTGTTGTTTCTCACTTTGTTTGACTTTCAATGCCCTTTTTCAAAAATATTCTCCAGCGAATGCCAAATCCAACTTTAATCTTAATTTTAAAATAAATCTCTTGTATAACATCATAATCCTTTCAGAACTAAAACAGTCAAACCTTTAATTGGAGTTCTCTTGCCCTTTTTTATGACCGTTCTTTCACCCTAGCATTCACAACCTTGACTTTCAATTCCCTGCCAAATTTGTAGGTGTCCAACCATCAACAACAGCAGCTGCCCCCACAGCATTATCAGGAGCAAATGAGGTAGCACCGGCACCAGCTCCCGATATCTCAGGCTCTCCAGTGCTTTCTGTTTCAATCGGATCTCTTTTCCTAGGCCTCATTATTATGTTAGTCTCTGGGTACTAGGTTAACTGTCAGTAATATTTTGATTGGAGGGCGAGGTATTCATATGAGAGAACATTTTGATATTTAGTTTGTTCGTGGGGGTTATCCTGATTATCATCTTAATTTTAGTTTCCCTTTTGTTTCGTCGTGTGGCTCGAGTAGATAGCATTCATTTTGTGGGTCACTGGAAACTCTGTTTTGGGCTTTTTAACCATCCTTTCTGATGATATTTAGTGGTATTCTCAATTCTGTTTTTGTCTCCTCATTTTTATTTCTAATTTTCTATGCTTAGTTGAGAGAGTTGTTGATTCGGAAAGGCACTCCCCCATATGCTTCTGTTCTGTCATCAGAACATCATTTGGTGTTTAGACGGCACTGCAGCATCAGGATGTCACCTTCCATATGGGATTTTCCTGTTGCTTCAGGTTTTGCCCGCTTGTCTCGTCTTTCTCTTATGGTATGCTTGAACCTTCCTTTTTGCAAAGAGATTTGTTGGTTTTGATCCGTCGTGAAAAAATTGACATATCTCAACCTTTTGGCCTAAAGTCAAAGGGGATTGTGAGAAGTTTACAGCCTAAAAAAACCCGTTTTACATTGAGAGCGTCTATGGATTGTTCAATGTTTAGGATTTCTTTTTTCTCGTGTGAAGGTACTCTTTAGACTTTGCACTGACATTGCACAAAGCCTTCGATGGGCTGGCTGTGAATGTGATGGGGTATTAGACTATTAGTTGTGTCAAACAGAAAAGGAAAAGAGGAATATGCATTTAATTCGACGAGAAAATACTTAATTGTGCACATGGTAGAATAACCAACGTGGAAGGCCTCTCTGCCTTCGCAATTGTTTGCATCCTCGTGATCTCATCTACCTCGGACTGGTAGTTGAATTCTCATAAAGGATCTCACAGCAAAGCCATCCATTATCATAATCAAATATTCGGATAACCTGCTAAACTGCCTTTCGCTATTGGGGCAACTCTCACATTTATTTATTTATTTATTGACTAGAGTGAGGTTACCAACTTTCTTTCCTTGGTGTATATGGCCAGTATATGTCCAAAATCACTAAATATAAATTGCGTGCGGTTTTTCCTTATTTTGGTTTGGGTTTGGAATGCTTTTAATGGATTTTGGGTTTGCTTTGAAGCTTTTCAGTTAACGTTGTGAGATTGAGTTTTTTCTTTAAATAGTAAAATTTACAAAGAAAATTCTGATTTCTTTTCAAGGGGCTAGCATATAAGACAACTCAGTTGTACGTGTGTAATAGAAAACATCAACAAGCTTTACTACCTCGATTGACTAAAACTCAGAATGAGAATAACGTGGAAAAAGATAACACCAACGCTCCATGAAGGAAAACTGGATAATGATAAAGAAATTTACACTTCAGCAAACTTGCTGAATCACCCCACCTGTTCACTGTTCACCCCCAAGCTTATTTCCCTTTTTCATATGAGCTCCTTCAAACCTTGGTTCATGTAAGCTTTGTTATCGAGCCATATTGAATATCACCAACTTTGAATTAGTTTAACAAGTACATGAACACATTACTTTTATGGTTCTAATTCCATCTTTGGAGAACATGTTAGCACTGCATCTGCCACAGTGAGGAAGATCCTATCCTCCCCTATCATCTCAGGAAACTTTGAGGCATGGAGCTTGTCAACCACAACTGGCCCTGGATTTGCTAAAACAAGCTGCAGAAAGAAGAATGCAGAAAACCTGAGATAATAATCCATGATGCATAAGCATAATACTAATATATTGTTATATGCCTTTCATTAATATCCTAAATTTCTTCAATAAATATAATTTTGCCTTTCAAAAAGAAAAAAAAACTCACAGAATGGAAGTTAAATAAAATCAAAATTTATTCCATCCTTGAGTTCAAAGTTGAGGTGATTTTACAGTAGGTTACCTTAACATCCCTCTTCTCAAGACTTCTGAACAACTCTTCCAGCGCATGGATGCCACTAGTGTCAATGTCAGTCACAGCTGTAAGAATATAAGTCATAAGAAAGAATTCTTTTGGCAAGCTTGATGACCCCAAAAAGAAAAAAAAAATGAATGAGGAAAATTGAACATAGCTTACGTGACATTTCAACAATCAAATACTGAATTCTGGGTTGGGAATTTTCTTTCAGTTGTTCTTCTTCGTCAGCCAGCCATCTCAAAATCCTGCAAGAAATTTAGACTTGGACATTTAGAATGATTTATCTGAACTTCTTTTGGGGTTTTAGGTTCATATAACAAGCTTCTAATCCTATTGATATACTGCAATTTCACTCAGCATACGACTTATATTTCTCTGACCTTAACCCCAAATATATATATATATATATATATATATATGTTGATGCCTGAACCATGTTTACTTTCTTTTAGTACTTAGGATAACCAAGAGGGAGATTCTAATGTGGACAAACTGGTCATACCTTTCTTTTACATAGTTGGAGTTGGAAAAGTAAATTGCAGAATCAACTCTAACAATGAGGATGCCAGGAACTTTTGTTGCATCTGGATATTGGAGGATGTTCCTGTAAACAGTAGTCCTTGGAAGGTTTCCAAGAATTGCTGTGCGAGGTCTTGTAACTTGTAAGAGGATTTTCGCAAACGATATTGAAACCTTTTAACAACAAGAAAATAGATATTTAGTGGATATATGTGGCAAATCAAAACTTAAAAATATGTCAAGAATCTCCTCAAATTCTCACCGCAATTAGAAGGCCTATCTCAACAGAAGAGAAAACTACCCCAAAGAAGGCTCCCATACAGGCAACAAAATCAAATTTATCGATCTTCCATATTAGAGTTACTGCTTCAATGTCGATTAAGGCAATCACAGCCGATATAATAATAGAAGCAAGTATTGCATTTGGAGTGTACTTGAACAGAGGAGTGATGAGTTCCAGAGTTAGTAGCACAACACAGGACATTACTATATTAGACACAGCTGTATGGCATCCGGCCATGTAATTTACTGCTGAGCGAGAGAAAGACCCTGCATGAGCATTTAGATGATAAATATTAGAATGATTTATTTTGTATATAAATAGAAATGAGGTAATGAATCACACTGGATGCGCCTTTCAGTTTTCACACCTGTAGCCACATAACAAGATGTCATCGAACCAACAATATTCATTGTTCCTAATGCTACCATTTCTTTGTTTCCATCCAAGTGGTAGTCCTTCATGGAAGCAAATGTTCTTCCAATTGCTACAGCTTCCTAAAGAGAGAATATTTGGCTTTAGATAAAAGATATAATGACTAGAATCATTTTCTGAGAAATCAAGAAATAAGGTGCTGAATATGCATACCGTCAATGCTATAATACCCGCTACTACCCCTATCCTGAAACCTTTGGCAAGATATTCTCCAGAGAAAAATATTTCATCCACAGACGGTGGGTTGATGCCCTTTCTGATATGTTTTACCTAAATATAACATTGTGAATATGAATCTTCATTTCTTTTCCTTTATATAAGATGAAGTTTGGAAACAATCATACAGAAAAAGGAGATGCATACAATCTGAACACCATGTTTGTCAGCACGTGTGATGTACACAAAAAAGGTGGAGAGGACAACAGAGATCAATGGAGCAATTGCTGGCACCCAGAATAGTTTCTTCTTCTTTTTTCCCTGCTCCATTTTATACAGTATCATTAGATTACATGAAAAACTTTCTACATATAGGCGATGAAAGGAAAAAATTCGATCTTACAATGTATTTTGCAACCAAGAGGAAGGTCAGGAAGGACACTCCTATTAGTATAGTTTGCCAATTCCACTGTAAAACAGATTAGACCATAAGATTAGCCAAATTCAAACATGTTTCATGCCACAAAACTAAGGAATCTCAAAAGTAAGATAGCAATCACTTACATCATGATGTACTGAACTCCACACTGAGCGCATGACAGAGACAATATCAGTATTCTTTGTGAACTTTTTTATTCCAAGTAGACCTTTAAGTTGTTGAAGGGCAATGGTGATAGCAGCACCAGCCATAAAGCCAACTATGGCAGCATGGGATAGGAAGTCTATCAAGAACCCCAACCTGTAAGCAATCACACCAACCATAAGCATGATATATATACCCAGAAATTCCACTGAATGATGATAAATTCAAAGGATAGAGTAAATGAGATATTTGATAAGTCAGTTGAGATGAAAGAAGGAAATTGATTATCTTTCATAAGACGTTGGCCATATACCTGAAAAGTCCAAGTGTGACCTGAGTGATGCCAGCAAAGAATGTAGCAGTGAATGCAAGGCGTCGGTAGTCAACTGGATTATTAGATGAGTCAATCTCGTTCTGCAGGAGACTGCCAAGCAAGAGAGACACCACAGCTACTGGTCCAATAGCAATATCCCGCGAGCTTCCCATGAATGCATAAACAAGAGGTGGAACGAAGCTACTATCTGTGATGCAATTGAAATTAAGTTCCTCAAATCAGTAAGTATGATTCCCACCCACCCCACCTCCCCCCCCCCCCCCCCCCCAAAAAAAAAAAAAAAAAAGGCAATCTTGATAAATGGATAGAGGCTTACATAACCCATATTGGGGTTCCAGATTGGCAAGCTTTGCATACCCAATATCCTGATTTAAAATTGAAAAATATTAGAAACACAAAGCAAAAAATGAAAATTTCAACTAAATTATCTCACAGATCACGAATACCTGTGGAATGCAAAGACTTGCAATAGTAAGTCCAGCAATCAAGTCTCCTTTGAATTTAGAAAGACTATAGTGCCTTCCCCATTCAAAAATAGGAAAAACCGCTTGGAAGCCTAGTACAAACTTTCTAGACCTTGGTTGGTCCTTAAAATGGCGTAAAGGATCATCTGCAAAGAAAGTTTCCTTCACAGTGCCTGCAATTTCTTTCAGCAGGTTTTGCTTAGGAGGTACTCCCACCTTGTGAACGTATGGCAAATTCTCTGAATTAAGATGCGATGAAGAAACGCTAACAATATCCATCTCCTTGTAGCCAAGCTCATCAGTGACACGGTGACTCATTCTGTCTAAAGAATAGTTTATAACCTACACAATTTTAAGTAGATATCATAAGAAGAAGTGTAAAGAAAAACACTAGTTGCCTGGAACAAAACAGATCAAAAGTCAGCTGAAATAGTTGAAAGATAATTATAACATGTTTCTCTTTCTGAGAAGTATCATAGTGAACTCAAAGGGACAAATGCATGTGAAATCAGAGACTAAAGAAAAGACACTACCTTAAAAGTCAGTGTTGATCAACGAAGCTAATTGATGACCATAACAGTGAAAGACAAAAGAGCCAAACGAGATCTAAAGTATGTCTGCATTGGAAAGAAAAAAGGGGACAGTTCCCATTTATATGAGTGCAAGGAGCAATATTTGTCAACTATTTCATGTCAAAAGGAGGCTTCTTATCAGTTATAAAAAATGTATCTAGCTCTCATCTATTCTACACACATAAGTCCTCACAAGTTGATTATATGAATTAGGTTAAATTCCTTAAACAAATGACACTTAAGAATTGTTTTTGTATTGTTTGAACTTTGAAATTAATGATACATGTTGAATCATTAATTTCATTATCATCATAAACTATACTTTGATTAAGTGTTGACATTGGGAATTGGCGTCCATTTGTTGAGGCCAAAAGTCATATATAGCCAACTTATCCCATATTTCCCTCTGCTACAAACCTTCAACATTACTTTAAAGTAGTTAATGTATTCAATTTGTGAATTCTTTACAGGATAGTTGTGTATATTTAATTTCTGATTTGAACAAGCAAAAAAGATTAGATGCAATTTCCATTCTCAGCGCTCAACCATCCTAAGTGCATTCGCCTTTTTCAGAAATTCATTCTGTTGTGAAGCGTATCTACTAGAAAAATATCTGCACAGCAACTTGGCCAATTTTCGTTTTCCAGAAAAGCAAGGTTAATTATTCCAGTAAAACAGATGATCAATTAAATTAATATTGTCCTACGCAACAGACTGGTGAAAAAACACAAGAAACAGACAGCTCCCTTGACTGCAATTTACTCAAACAGGGAAAAAAGTGAAAGTGGGGTTTAGAGTTTGCTTTGCAAAAGGCAATCATAAAAGGAATAATATGAACTCTGGAGCCTGGAGTTGGACACAACTACAACCCCACATTCTCAAAAAAGTAAAAAGCACCCATATTAAAAAAAAAAAAAAAGGCTTTTAGGATTTGGTCTTTTCAGTTCTGTTTCGGAACCAACAATAAAAAGTATTCCAGAAGATGGTTCATCTCATTCAACTTGGACTTCAAAAAAAAAAAAAAAAAGCACTTATCATGACCACCATCCATAGTGAAATCATCTTACAAAAAAAAACCCATTAATGATAAAAAAAAAATGAATGGCAAAGTCAAACGATTGTGGCTTGCAAAGGAGTTTACTTACAATTTACAAAGGTTGCGTTTACGCGGTGGCAATGCGGCTTCACGTTATCATCATCATCAACATCATGTGCAGCCTTTTGTTGGGATTCCGCGTTATATATATTATTGTGTCAATGGAGAGATAATGAGGAATAGCAATAGAGGTTGAAGATTAAAGGATGTCTAGATTCGTTGAATCTCTGGGAGGGAGACTTGAATTGTTATTTCCTTTTTCTTTTATTTTGTTCTCTGTATTTTTCTTTTTTATTTTCCTTCTTGTTCGGAAGCTAAGAGATGTTTGTTTTTTTGTGAATATATAACTCCTGGGAACGGAAAGAAAACACGAACGACCTTTCCATTTATTAAGAAATTATTAAAAAAAAAACAATTGAATAATTAGAATATACTTATTTCAAATTGAGAATGCACGGCCAAATATTACGTGATTGGTTAGTATAATGTTGATCCTTAATTGTAATTATTAAAATTTAAATTTTGATAATTTTAAATATAAAAAAATTTGTAAGTACCTGAATTTTAATTTATATATTAAAAAAAAGAGTTGAGAAGAATATATAAAATTTTTTTTTCTTGATTACAATTCTTTTATCATATTATTTAAAAACTCATAGGTGATCAGCTTGAAATTAATAGAATTGAAGCATATTTCGGAAGATTATGTTATTGGAAATCTTTGTATAGCTTTAGACTTGAGTGATTATTTTTTATTTATAATTCTTTATATGATTCTTTGTATACTAATCACATTGGCTTACATAATCTTGATGTAGTAGTATTTTCGCTTTTTCTTGATTAATGAAATCTTTTTATTTATAAAAAAATTAGTCCATATTGAGGAAGAAAAGAAGAATTAAAATACAAGTTAGAAAGAAAAATTAGAGATGCAGGCAATGAAAAACGGAGTTGTTTAAAAGTTTTTTAAATAAAGGTTAAAATTGATTAAAAGAAAATTTTAATTTGTGATTATATATATGAAATTTGTAAGTATTGATATTTAAATTTAAGATATATTAGATGATATTTTTTAAATATAATTATATGAATCAAATGAAATATGTTTCTAATTAAAATATACATGATCTTTATTATAATTCCAAAATTAAACCACTATTTTATCATCAAAATTATTGAATTTTGATCAAGAACTAAAAGAAATTTAATACATTAGAAAAATATCTAGGATATATACAAGCTTCAAAATCAAAATTTGAATAGATAAAGTGATCTTTATCAATTTTTATATAAAAATATTGCATTAAAATTAAACCATGATATTAAACTAATTCTTAATAGATTATTACTGAATGCATTATCTCATTGGCTTTTTTTTTTTGTTTTTTATAATGTCAAATTACAAACGTAAGAGATTGATTTGTTAATAATAATATTGTTTCGTCCTAAAGTATTAAATTTTTAATTTTTAAAAATTACAAATATTTAAAAGAATTGACATATTTATCTTTTTTCAATTCTCACACGAAACAACCTTGACCTGAACATAGCATAAAATCTTGGCCAAATTCCATGCATATAATCCCAAGTTAAAATATATTAAAAAAAAATCAAAAGCAAATTAAATGCGGTTTCTTCTCTGGTCTTCAAGTTCTAATCTTCCCTTAATTTAGTCAATCAATGTACATATTTATCGTTACAGTTTTGAGATTGTCAGACGTAAAAAAATTTTAAAATCAAAATAAATAAAAGAATCATTATTAATCTTTGTTAGGGTGTGATTGACTACCTAAAAACTTATCTTTTTAATAAAATTATAAAAACGAGTTTAAAATTTATCAAAAAGATAAATTTTGATCTACAAAAAATTAGGTTGAATCCGAGAGTCGGTTACGTGTGGGGAATGATTAGTACCCCACAACACCCATAAATTGGTTCCATTTAATTATGCGCTATTTTCGATATTGGATAAAAATGGTTTCAATTTGAAATTTAACGCTAATTCCCTTCATTTGGAAAAACAAAAATTTGCTAAAGCTTTTTATTTAAGAATATTGAGAAAATTTTAAAGTTAAAGAATTATTTTAAAATTCTTCAACATCTAGACAGAATTTAAAATAACTCTTTTCACTTAAGATTTAATATGATAAACCTTAAAATAAAATAACAGTCTTTATAGAATATAATTGTTAGTGACTCTCCATCATCTACGCAGAGTACCAAGAATTTTTTTTTAAATGTATTATTCTTTTTTTATTATAAAATATTTTATCATTAAATAGTAAATAAAAATTAAAGAGAGAATAATGATAACACGCTAACGTATGTAAGCTAATGAATGTTATGTAAAAAGAAATGCAATTTAAAAATTGGGTTCTTAAGTATAATAAGACCACCCTGACTCTCCAACATCTAGGCAAAGCTTAAGTGCGACTGTTTATATTTAAGAATTCAATTTACTATTATACTTTTTATTTATTAATCTTATTATTAATGAGAATTAAGAACTTGTGTGAAAAAACTTAACGAAGTAAAGTTTCCTAAACAACCCATTATCTAGGCGGCATTTGGGAACAAATTACTTCAAATTAGATTTTCACATGTGTCCTTAGGATTTTCAAAATGTTTTGAGTAAGGGCTTGAGTAGAGGTTTTAAAGGTTAGGGTTTCAAGATTTTGAAGATTCGAATTTTAAGATTTTGGGTTGAGTTTTGAGGGTTTTAGGGTTTGGTTTTAAGGTTTAGAGGGTTTTAAGGCTTGGATTTTAAGGTATGGAAGGTTTAGAATTTTGATTTTAGAGTTTGGAGATTTTAGGATTTTGGTTTTAAAAATTGATGTTTGGGGTTTTGATTTAAGAATTTGGATTTTAGGGATTTGGATTTATGGGGTTTGGATTTAAGAATTAATGTTTAAGGTTTCGTTTTTAAGAAAATACGAACATCTCTAAAAATCATCAACATTTAGGTGGATTTTTGAAGCAAGTTCGATTCTAGCGATTTTTTAAAATTAATCAAAAATTTTTTATATATTTTTTTAATAAAAATTATTAATAATAATTTTTCAACATCTAGCGAAATTATTTTTAGAATTATTTTTAGGAATATGTTTTATTCCTTCGAACATCTAGGCACGAAAAATAAGAAAAATTATTATTATTATTAAGCATTTTTAATATATATTTTTAATTATTATCTTACTTGTTTTCATTTTTATTATTATTAAAATAATTAAATATTTATCCTAACAAATTTAAAAATTTATCATGCATAAATATAAAAAATACTTAAAATAACAAAAATAATAATATATAAAAAAAATAAATTTTTTTTTACCTGAACCGGACCAGTCAACGGTCCGATCAACGACGGTTCGATTGGATCGAAAAGGGTTTAGTTCGACGTGCGGTTCAGTTGAGCCGATTGAGGAGTGGTTTGGGTCGGTTTAAGGAGTGGTTCGGTCCAGTCTGGTCAAACCGATTCAGATTTGCTGAGGAGTCGGGTTGTCGGGTCAATTGCGTGGACCCCGAGTATGGTCCGGGTCCACGCGCGGATCCTCCCCTACCGAAACGATATCATTTTGAGCTGTTTAATTTTCTATATAAACTTCAAAAAAAATTTTTGTTCATTTTTTCTTTTGCTCGAAAAAAAAAATCTCCCTGGTCTGAAAATGCTCTTTGGCTCCGATCGGAGTCCAATGTTGTGTCGCCCCGCCAACCGTCATTGGGTCACCTCTGGTGATCGAAAAATTTTTAGAATTCACCAAAATGCCCTTCTTAACCCCTTGAGCTCGGATCTGCTATCTTTTTTCATGAAAAAAGCCTCGATTGACGTAGATCGAGGTTTAAAGATTTTTGTTTCTTCTTTTTTTTTTTTTTTTGTAAACTGAAGACTGATTTGATTTTTTTGTTCTTGCAGAGAGCTTCGGTGCTGAGGTTCCTCCTTGCGGGGAGGACTGTGTTTGTCTTTTTGTTTTTCTTTTTTTTTTGTTGATGTGGGTTCTGTTTGGGGTTATTGAAGGGAAATGTTTGGCTTGGTGTTTGGGCTCGAAATGAGAGAGTGCTGAGGGTAGTATGTCTGGAGGTTTCAAAGATTTGTTCGAAGGTTTTCGAAAGGGGGTGTCCGAGAGAGGCTGAAAAGAGAAATGTTGGGAGCTTTATAGGGTTGAAAATGGTGGTAGCCAATGGAGCACACGTTTGGCGAGGTATGGGTGTGATAGTAGGGTAAGGTTGATGGTTTTGAGCAGTTGGGGCAAGTGAAGTGCAGGGGCTCCGATGGGATTGGGGATGGGTGACAGGGTGAATGGCAGTGGTGGCGTGTAAGGCACCACTGCCATCCTGATTTTTCTCTTTTTTTTTATCAGTTATCACTTTTATTTTTATTTTTTTATATTAATTAAATCAATATTATTATTATTATTAAACTAAAGATTGGAAATGATAGATCCGGATAAAATTCAATGTCTACAGCTGCCACTCTTTGTACGTTTACTGAGAATCAGTAATATGACAAAGATAAAGATAACGATTTTGTCCAAAGCTAACTAAATGACTTTTCTAATTAATTTAAAAGATTGAACCATGAATTAAGGGGAAAAGAACAATTGAGATGATATCGCGAATTAAAAAATGATAGAGATAAA